TGGTATTTCTTCATGTAGTTGTGTTATAATGATTATATACTAAAAGTGCTTATAATGATTATATACTAAAAATATACTAGAATTAAAAAAAAACTATTTCAAAATTTATACCAAACTAAAAATTGCTAAAAAAAGAAAAGCAAAAAAACACCAAAAATATATAAAAAATGCTAAAAGAACACCCCAAAATAACCCAGGAGCAACCCTACTGATGCCACTTAAAAACTCTTAGGAAATACTTTAATAATGGATGAGACTATATAAAAAGGTTTAAAAACTCTTAGGATCGTAAAAACTCTAAGACCATAGTCTAGATTTATTTAACAACATAATGGCCGATGGTGTTAAAAGTTAGATGATATTTGCTGGTTGCAAATCAACATTTATTTTTGCTATTTGGCTATAACTTGCAATAATTGATATTCTTTATAAAAAGAATTAAGTTGTTTCAAATCAGCCAGAGTTTGAAGATAAATTTTATGACAGTGATTTGTTCTGGAAGAATGAGTCACTGTCGTAAAATTAATTTAAAATTATGAACGAATCAAATCATAAAATATGTTAATTTATGTTAAAAAATCTTTTATTTTAATATATGCTTTTATTTTATTTATGCAATCTTTTATCCCTTTTTTATTATAATATACATGCATGCTTTTGTTCTATTTTATTTTAAAATATTTTACTTTCATGACTGCTATCAAATTTTTTTAAGGTCATGTATATATATATATATATATATATATATATATATATATATATATATATATATATATATATATATATATATATATATAAATATATATATATATATATATACAATGTTTATATATATACATGTATATATATAATGTTTATATATATAATGTTTATATATATAAATGCATATATATATACAATGTTTAAATAATTCTTTATAAGCTAAAAGAAATATATGGTCATAAATATTATCAAAGTGACCAATGAACTGATTAAGTATTAATGAACTGACTATGAAGAGAAATTATCCAAATAACTTTATGATTTCAAAGTGAATTTTAAAATTTGAATTTTTCATATGTGAATTGCACTATTGTCAAAAAGTTTATCATTATTGTGAAACAACTTAAAATTCAAATAAATTAAAAATAAAGAAAAAGTTTGTTTTATATTATTTTATCTAGTTAACTTATTTTCTTTTCAAATTTATTTTTGGAATATTTTAACTTAATAACTTTTGTTTTCAAATTTTTTAAAGGATGATTTAGACCTACCTATCAAAGTTGTACGTGGTTACTTAGGTATGTAGTTACCAGACATGGTATTTATACGTTTAATTGCTATTTTAAAGTAAAGTTTTAACTTTTTTCATATAATTTTGGTTTTTTAATATATAAATAACATATTGTCAGAATTGTAGCCAGCTTTGTAATTTTTTAATAATTGACGACATATATTACTTTTGTAATATATTTTATATTTTTTATATTTTTTTATTTAAATAATACATGTAATTTATTTTAAAAAGACATTTTTAAAGAGTTTAATTTATATAATTAAATAAAAATTTCTACTATGGATGTAACTCTTTATATTTAGATTGATTTTTACTACATTATTTCATAGGAGTATAGAAACCCTCATTATCAAATATAATATAAATATAAAAAACTGTCATAAATAAAAAAACAAAAACAAATCAATGCAATAGTTTCTTTTAATTCTGAAATTAAAACATTGGTTTTCAAAAAAAAGTTGTTACATAAACTCTATTACATAAACTCTATCTTTAGACTGTTGTCTAAAGGAGCATATTAATGACGTTGTATTTCAAGTCCTTCCCTCACTTTTTTGTTAAAATTATTGACCTCTACTTTTAGAGTATTTTTATTGTTCAATGCAAAATTACCAGAAATAACTGACTGCATTAGATGATTCTTTTATGGTTTATGTTTTTAAAATTCCATATATGCATGGAGAAATGCAGTCAAATGGGTACAATTATAAATATTCATTATTTTCATAATAATTTCTGGAATTTATTTAAAGTTTTGAGTCTTACTTCATTTATCAGTAAAAGTTCGGTTCCTTTGTCAAACAGGTAATACAATTTTCTATAATAAGTTTCCATATTTTAGGTATTGAAAAACTGTTTTTATTGTTTTAAATTAACTTTGAATAGAAAATAGATCTTGTGTCTTAAAAGTTGTTGCAAATTAACTTTGAATAGAACTTAGATCTTGTGTCTTGAAAGGTGTTAATGACAAGTTTAAGTTTAACTTTGATATGATAACCAGGCTAATTAAAAAATTTGACAATATTTTGTCTGGTGTTAGTATTATTATTTTTTAGTTGAATTCCTTTAAGTGTAGAAGGAAATTAGTATTGTCACACTTAATGCTTTTTGTTTGTGCTCTACTTGTCATGGAATCCCTAATAAGTCTCTCTATATATAAACTTAAGAATATAAATAGTTAAAAAAAAATACATAATCTTTCTGCTTGCTTGATTAAAATGTTTTGTTCTATGCCAAGAAAATATTCTCTTATTGTGAGAATTTTTCTATTATTGAGAAAAGTTGACAGAAATTTTACTTTTGTTCACTTTTCCCAAAATAAAATAGTAAAATTTTATTGTCCTATTTTCCTCTAGGTAGGCTTGTATTAGCTATTCCATGGAAAAATCTTTATCATGAAGCAACAATAGTTGAAATCAATGACCTTCATATTGTCAGTAAACCAAATTTTGGTAAGTATTAATAAGAATGTATTAAATACTAATATTGTGTATTGCTATATATATATTATTATATGTGCTTATCTTAATCCTATAGTATTATGTAAATGATAAAAGTAATGCAAGAAGATAAATGTATTTACAGCATAAAACAAGTCTAACATCATTATGATGTTAGACTTGATTAACATCATTGATTTACATTATGACATTACATCATTGATTTACATCATGACATTACATCATTGATTTAAATGCAAAAAAAAAAAAAAAACACACTCTTAACATAAAATTGAACAATACAATATGAATTTTAGAAAATTTATAATTGCTTAAAAGTAATTATCAAATACTTATTTAAAGTATAATTACTTTTTGTTGTTACTTTTTTATACCTACATTTTACTTTTTTTTATTATTAAATTCTCAATAGTTGTTTTTATTTTTAAAACAACTCTATACTTTAAGTTTTTTTTTTTAAGTTTTTTGAAAAAACCTTATTTAATTTTATCATTTAAAATTTAAACATGTTAAGTTAGTTAATGATTTACTTTTTTAAATATGTTATTAGTAAATATATTATATTTGTTGTGTATAATATTTTTCTACTTTTATGCATATGTTTACAAATATTACGCCTGATTAGCTGAAAGTTGGTATGCAAGCAAATTTAATACTGAGGAATCTCATAACATAATTTAAATTGTCAATGAAAAATTCTCAACACACCATTTTTATTTTCAATATTATTTGTTAAGTTTTACCCAGTCTATTATTTTTATTATTATTGTTATTGTTATGTTATTTAATATAAAATTTATTGTTATACATTGAATGCGATGCTTTTGTTTTTCTTCGAAAAAAGTTACAGCTATAATTATTCTTACAAATATTAAAGTTGTCTCTTTGTTACCTTAATCTTCTGAACATTAATGATAACAACTAGAAAGAAATATACATTTCATGGGCTTTAATAAAACAAGACACTAAAGTTAAGAAAATATGCTTTTATCTAGTAGAATATTTTTGTTTTATTAAAAAAAAAAAAAAAAAAAAATTTGATTAATTATATTTTTTTTACGTAAACACAACAAATATACTTTGACATGTCTTGTACAAAAGATTTACAATTTTATCTGAATATTATTGTTATTTTATAGAACATTAAAAAAAAAAAGAAAGGATTTTTATCATACTGAAAAAATTACATATTGAATGGCAGGAAAAAAAGATTGCACTTTTTTTTTATTAGATTTTTTTTTTTTTTGAATTTTAATAATTAAAATTAAACTTGGAATAAAAATTTGACTAATTAATGCTTAAATACATGTTAAAATTATTCTTAAAATTCATTCTTTTCTAAAGTAGTTTTAGAATTCAGTAGGGTTCGGCAAATGCATCTGCGCAGATCTGCGCAGACATAATATGCGCATATCTGCGCAGACGTCCGCACCGACGTCTGCGAAGACAGTTTAAAGGATACAAAAAATTTAAATTATGATAAAAAAATTACTTCAGACATTTGATTCAGATTTAATTATCTGAATCAAATGCCTGAAATTAATTATTTTTTTAAATTTAATTTCAGACATTTGATTTGATTTTTATATTGTCTGAAATTATTTTATTAAATATTGTCTGACAATATTTAATAAAATAATTTCAGACATTATAAAAAACTCGTAAAAAGTAGGTAATTATCTACTTTTTACGAGTTTTTCATTACTTTTCTGTTTCTTTTTTGTTCGAGCTACATATAATCAATCAATATAAACTTTTTAAAGTGTTTCTTACTACAATTTAAAGTGATTTAAAATAAAGAAATCACGTAGTTTCGTCATAAATGTATAAAATGGAAAATATCAAAATTTTGAATTATTTGACAAATCTTGATCGAGGGAAGCGTTCTGGCACTTGTTTAGCATGTAACAAAACTGTTCAATGGTCGAAGGAACGCCTTGCAGCGCATAAAAGATCAACATGTCAAAACGCCAGTGTCGAGGAAAAAAGATTGTTTTCTAAATGAATTGTCATTTAGAAAACAATCTTTTTTACCGTACGGGTATATCATTTTGTTTAGTGGAATCGAAGGTCTTTAAGGATTTTGTGAAGTTGCTTAATCCATCGTACGCATCTGTCATCCCGAAAGCTAAAGTCTTATCAGGATCTCTGCTCGACAAACAATACACAAAATTTTCTATTTATGTAAATGAAATTTTGAATTCTGAAACAAACTTAACACTGATGTCTGACGGCTGGACGAACATAAGAGGCGAACGCATAGTGAATTTTTGTATTAAAGCGCCTGAGCAGAAGCCTTTTTTTTACACCTCGATAAATACATCCAGAATCATTCAAAATTCATCTGCAGTTGCTGCAGCAATCTTACAAATTATTGAGAAGATTAACTCACAAAAATTTACCAGTTTCATAAGCGACAATGCTCCTGTAATGAAATCAGCGTGGAGGATCATCGAGGAGTATATCCACACATCTCGGCTAGCGGATGTAGAGCTCATGGAGTCAACTTGCTTGTGAAGGACATAGTTTCTACAATTGAGGCCACAAAAACAGTCAAAGATGCAGAGAAAATCATCAAATATGTGAAAAATCATCACATTATGAAAGCAAAGTTTGATGAAAGATGAATTGCAGCAAATATTTCTCTTTCATTGTCCATGCTTGTATCTACACGATGGTTTAGTTATTATAAATCAATGAGCAGTCTCCAGCTATCAAAATACGTTCTTATTAAGTTGGTAGACAAAGAAAGTCCATTACTGAAGGAAATTCAACCAAAGAATACATCTGCTGCTGTTATGGCGTTGATAAAATTTAACCCATTTTGGGACGGTCTCTCTAAGCTTGTCAAAAGCATTGAATTTCCTTCCAACGTAATCGGAAAGCTAGAAAGTGATACAGCTCCATTAGTAAAGTGATACATCTCTCGTGTATGATTACTTTGGTCAAATGTACCATTCATATATGAACGATAAAGACATACAACAAAAAGTGCAATCTCGCCTCGATTTTCTCTTTACACCATGTATTGGAATTGCTTTCATATTAACGCCCAAAAATGCAGCAGAAGGTTTATATTTGAATGAAGATAAAACCGATTTTATCACTGCTACAGTTGAATATGCCAAAAAGATCAAACCTGAAATTGCTGCCACTGCTGAGGATAAATTGATTGCTTATATAGGAGAAATTTCTGTGCTACCTGAGAGAAGATAGGAAACAATATTCAAGATGAACTCGTGAAATTATTGGAGCATTATTGGTCGCGATAAATATCCTGCTCTTTATGAAATTGCTAAGCCTATTAACGAAATGATCTGCTCATTGGCTACAGCAGAAAGAGCTTGGTTGACCTTTCGATTTATTCACTGGCAACTAAGAAATTGTCTTACGGATGAGAGAGTTGAAAAGCTAGTATTCTTGTATACCAATAGCGTGCTGATGGATACAAATGACAAGACTGATTACATTCTTGAAGAAGGTGCAATTCTCAATGAAATAGAAATCACCGAATAGGCGCCAGCATTATATATTTTTATTACTGTAATAATCTTTAAAAACTCCTATTGTTACTAATCACTGAATTTATAATAAAGTTAAAAGATTACTTAAAACATTTTTTAAGTTTTAAACATTTTTAAACTTTTTTTGTTGATTTCAATAAATCGTCAGTAATAATAATATCTGCGCAGATCTGCGCCGAGAGACGAACCTTAGTATATTTTAGCAGTAATAATAAATTTTGTCGGCGCCGACGTCTGCGCAGACAAATTACAATGTCTGCGCAGATCTGCGTCGACAGTGCGAACCCTAGCATTCAGTTACTAGTGATATTGTTAATACATTCTAAAATAATTTCTTATTAAGTTACTAGTGGAAAACAATCACAATAGTTGTATTTTACTTATTAATTTAACTATTAATTAATTTATTAATTAATTTAATTATTAATTTACTAATTAAATTAATTAATTGAATTATTAATTTGCTTACTAATTAATTAACTTACTAGTTACAATAATTGTAATTTACTGTTAATAATGTTTATGATAAACTATTAGATTTAAGTATTCAAAAAAATCATACCACCATTAATGTGCTTTTTTTTAAAAATAGTTCAAAAATGAAATAGTAAAAAAAATATAAACTACAATATAATTACGCAATTTTATTTAACGTGGTTAACTAATATTATTTGAGTTGTCTGTTATTCCACCTGTTTTGCATGGTTCAGATTTTCTCACCTCACCTAAAGACAAAGCTGAATTGTTTGCTAAGATTTTTTCATCACTATCATCTCTTGACTTTATTAGTTGCATTCTACCTGGTATAGCCGACAAACAGGTTGATCCATTGCTTGACATTTGTATCACTCTAACTTCTGTGTCTAAAGTAATTTCCTGCTTAGACTCTTCTACAGCTTGTGGTCCGGACGATATACCTGTTATAGTCTTGCAGAAGTGTTCTCCGGAGCTGTAGTCTATACTTTCAAAACTATTTAACAAGTGCTTATCAGTGTCTTTTTTCCAGCTTGTTAGAAAGTGGCATCTGTTATCACTATTTTCAAAAACACTAGAGAGCGATCTGACTTGCCTAACTATTATCTCATAAGTCTTCTTCCTATTGTAGAAGCAACCTTTTTTAATCTTTATTTAACAAACACATGATCTTTTATCTTATAGCATACTTTCTGATCATCAGTATGGATTTCTACCTTCTTGTTCTACGGCTGATTTGCTAACAGTAATTACCAATAGGTTTTATCGTGCATTAGATAGATGTGGAGAGGCTAAGGCTATTGCTTTCGACATAAATAAAGCTTTTGGTAAAGTTTGTCATGCTGGTCTTCTCCATAAGCTTTTTCTTACGGTGTATTAAGCAACATCTTTAAGATTATTGAATCCTTTCTTTTCAATCATAGTATCAAACTTGTCCTTGATGGACAGCACTCTTCTTCATATCATGTAACTTTAGGTGTTCCTCAAGGTTTTATACTTGGCCCTATACTCTTTTTAATTTACATTTGCGATCTTCCAGATATTCTCACATTCAAGTTGGCATTGTTTGCTGATGATACTACCATTTATTCTTGTTATGATAAAAAGCCAACATTCTCTAATTGCTTGGAGAGGGCATTTGAGCTTGAAAAAAACCTCACTTCTGCTGCATCATAGGGCTTGTAGTGGCTGGTGAACTTTAATTCAGATAAAATCCAATATTTTTGTGCCAATTGTTACTGTAATAATTTAGGTTTTCTTATATTTATGAACGGTGATGTACTTGATGAGCCATCTACCTTTAATCTTCTAGGACTAACTCTTACAATCTCTCTTGGAAACCATATATCAAATCCATGGCAAAATTAGCATCTGCTAAGGTTGCATCTTTTTATCGTGCTTGACAGTTTCTTACTCTTGATTCTATTCTCTATCTCTATAAATCTCAAATCCGGCCTTTTATGAAATACTGTTGCCATATCTGGGGCGGATCTTCAAATGATGTCCTTTCTCTTTCAGACAAGGTGCAAAAAAGCATTGTAAACATAGTTGGACCTGCTATTGCAGTCAACCTCCAACCTTTATCTCATCGTCGTAATGTTGCTTCTCTTTCTCTTTTCTACAAATAGTGGTTGCTTGCAGTCTTATTGAAAGCAAAGATGTTAAAAAAAAAATAAATAATAAATTCTGCACTCTGTGATACTGACAAGTAAAATTAATTTTCAATTATAGAAATAAAAAAACAACAAACAGTTTGATCTATTTAAATGTAAATAAAGTATAAAAAAAATAATTTATTGAAAGATAACTCCTAAACACAGCATTTCAAAAAAACAGAAGCCAAAATAGGTAAAATATACAGTTTTTAAATTTCACTAGATTTACCAGTTTTTGTGATTGCTATCATATTTCAGCAATAAAAAAGTAAAATATTATTTTACTCTAAAATATTATCTTACAACAAACGATTTTCTTATATAATACAAGTCTTATTTTAAATAAAAAAACGCTTAATACATTAGCTTAATGTGATGTTTGATGTCATTAAATTAATTTTTTATGGACTTATTATACATTATTTTTATGGACTTGATTTTTATAAACTATTTTAAACTATCACAATATGATAAATTACTGCTAAATGATTTTAATTAAAAAATTAACTCAATTAATAAATACATTATTGAAATGATATTTTGTTTCAATTTGTTTTTTTTGTAACATTAAATATTTAAATTTAATATTACATCCTTTTAAATATTTAATATAAACTAATTTCTTTCTTTTTCTCAACATTTGCAAAACAAATTGAAATATATTAATTTTTTTAAAATTATTATTTCTTGTAATTGCTGCTTAGAAAGTAATTAAGATTTTATTTATTAAAAAAGTTAGTAACAAACAAAAAATACAAATTCTAGTTTATTACTTTCCCAGTGATTTTGTTGTGACATGCAAAGATTAATTTAGGTTTCCTTTTATTAAAAAATATAATATAATATTTATAAAATATATATTGTTGCACTTTCACTTGCTTTATAAAAAAAAGTTTAATACACGTTTTGTACACATTTTATATGCAGTCTTAAAACATGTTTACAAGGAATTTAAATTTTAGTAAAAAAAATGAAAAGTAGGAAAGTAAACAGGAAGAAAAGTAGGAAGGTAAACAGGAAGAAAAGTAGGAAGGTAAACAGGAAGAAAAGTAGGAAGGTAAACAGGAAGAAAAATTACAGTAAAATTACAGTAGAGCCATTTTTTTAAAGTAAAATTTATAACATTTGTTATATTAAAATTGTTATATATAATGTAATTGTCATTCAAAATTTGTTATAAACTTTTTCAGAATTCCTTAAACAAAATCACTGAAGGTTTACATAAGTTGCATCCTGCTTAACACATTAGAACATAATCTGTAATATACAAGGTGTATTGTTTTAAAAGATAACTTGATTTCTTTTGTTGATAAAATACTTTTGCCTTCAGATCCTTGGCAGGTCACTGGCATTGGTGCTGGAGAACAAGATCTTTTTAGCATCAGTTTTTAAGATTAATAGATGTGTAAAGATCAAGATTGTTAAATCACTCATTACTTAATTTAGCTACAATGCAGAGCACATTCCATACCAACTTTTTTAGCTACAATGCAGAGCACATTCCATACCAACTTTGGGAAAGTAAAAATATACTTCCTCTAACTTTTCAGCACATCAAATTTGTGCTCTTTTTAAACACGAGGCATAGGATGAAAAGATATGAACTCTATTCTAGTTTCAGGGACATTTAAGCGTTGTTGTTGTTATATCAACTATCTATAACTGCTCAATTATTATACTTCATTTACTATTCATTCACTGGCACTTCAATTTGTAATTAATTCTTTCACTGTTCAAACATGCTTTAGCAATTTAATTGTTGATGAATTTCCTGGTGAGCTCTTGTAATATGTATTATTGAAACATATATTCTGAAAATATAAACAAATAGATAAATATTTGATTGATTATTTGTTAATTTCGATCGATTATTTGTTAATATTTGTTAACATTGATTGATTATTTGTTAACATTTAAACAATAAATTTTTTTTTGATAAATATTTGATTTTTATGATAATTATAAAATTGTTTAAAATTTAAAAATTAAAAAAAATTTTGTGAGTGAAATTTGACACAAAATTAGGTTTTTTAATAAGAAATAAATTTTTTTAATTCTGAAGTACATGTTTAAAACCATAGTGTTGATAGTGTCTGCCATATCTATTGAATTTTGTATCATTGTGTAAATGTTTGCATAGTTTTTAATAGAAAACTATTATTCTGTTTTGCCTATAAAAGCGATTTTTGAAAAATTTTCAGTTTTAAGAAGCATAGTTAGTATGTAATGTAGCATTGGTTTATTTTCCTTGGAAATACATTTGTACATAATCTTCAGAGTTTTTAACATATGTATGTTTTCCATATCACTATCATAAAAACATCATAAAACATCATGAAAAAGTGGTATACCTTTCCATGTCTAAAGAGTCTCACCTGCCCCCATATAGCTGGAATAGCTTAGTTGATTAGTGCGCTGTTAAAGTTTAAGATTGTTATTAGCCGTAGTAGCTGGATTACAGGTTTAATTCCCAGCTCCGCCTACTCAGCATATGAGTAGTTCCTGTTACGAAAGTATCTTATCTCGATTAGCTTCGTTATTAAGATGTTTTCCTTTTGACTAGTAAATAAATAATCTAGTTGAGTAAATGAAAGTTATAATTTTTTATTGTATAAAAGATCAGTTTTATGTTATGACCAGAGTTAATGTGTTTTATGTAATAAAATAGTAGTAAGTTTAAACAATTTTTAAATCCAAAATATTTTTAGGTACCCCCTAAGATCTTTGGATATTGATTTTTTTTTATTTTAGGTACCCCCTGGATATTGAGTTATATTCATTTTAGTTATAAAATGTGTTTTATGCTGTAAAACTAAAATTAAAATTCCTTTATTTATCACATGTTTATTTATTCATGCAGATTTAAAGTTTTATTTATTTATAAGATATTATTTAATTAGATAATTTATTTATAAAATATTAAATTTATTTATTTATAAGATATTAAATACAATAAAGAAAAAGAGGAGAAAGATGAGTTTGAGAGAAAGAAACGACAAATTGAAAATATAGAAGAGGCTCGACGTGTAGAAGAAGAAAAAAAGAAAGGTTAAAATTGCTTTTTTTATCATTATGTTATAAAGTATTTTAAATTTATTATTTTATTTTAATATCTTTGATAATTCTATGTTTATAAGTATTTAAAATTTAAATTTTTTTTAGCAAAAAGTGAACAAAAAGAAGACCAAGATAGTTTTGTGGAAAAACTTGCAACAAATATTATTAAAAATTTACAAGTAAGTTTTAAAAGTGTGTTTCAAAATGTTGGCAAGTATATGTGGTAATAGGCTCATAATGAAGAAGTTTAGGGTTTAAATCCACTCTCAAATGTCTCATGAAGTGTTCATGTTCTTCTTGAAGTGTTCTTCAACCTTTTATCTACAAAGCAGCTCTTTTCAACTCTAAATTCAGAAATAAAATTTTTAAAAAAAAAAAAATTTATATCTGAATTTAGAGTTGAAAAATAGTTAAAAATAAAAAAATATATACAGTAGAAATGGTTGGTTAATTACAGATGAATGAATAACGAATGAATAATGAACAAATAATGAATGAATAATTACAAAAATAAAACTTTGCAACTTTAATTATTTTTTTGAATAAAAAAAATGAGAACAGACCAAATAAAATTATAGTATATCATTGCGATAAAGTTAAATTTCTATTTGAAATTTATTGTAAAATTAACAAAATATAGACCAAAATAACTTAGATTTGCAAAGTTCAAATTAAAAAATAGTTAACACTATTTTGTAAAAAATTTAATTTGATAAAACTTATGTTTAAAAATAAATAAATTAGAGTTATTAATATCACAAAAAAATTGAATTAAGCCAAAAGCAATACAAAAAAGAAAATTCTGGAAACAGATAGGCTTATTTTTTTGCATTGAAAGACTTATAACCAAGTTGTTATTTTTTTTCAATATAAATTAATGTTGCTAACAAAAAAGATAAAAAAAAAAAAATGCTAAAGCTATTTAAAAAGAAGAAACGCAGAGAAAATAGAAAAAAAGAAATGTTTTTTTTTCAATTTTATATATGTCCTTATATAAATTTTATTGGTAATTATATATGTCCTTATATGAATTTTTTTGGTACTTATATAAAAAAATGTTTTATAAAATTAAAATAATCTAAATAAAAGTTTTTTCTAATGTTGAACTTCTCTTTTCATAAAATTTAAAAAAAAAAAAAGTTTAATATTTACTCTAATAATAGATTTATTCAGTTTTTAGTAGAAATTTAGTGTAATTAATCATTTCTACAGTATATATATATATATATATATATATATATATATATATATATATATATATATATATATATATATATATATATATATATATATATATATATATATATATATATATATATATATATATATATATATATATATATATATATATATATATATATATATATATATATATATATATATATATATATATATATATATATATATATATATATATATATATATATATATATATATATATATATATATATATATATATATATATATATATATGCAGTTTATTCCTGGTAAGTCAAATACCAGTTAAACCTTTATTATCTTTAACTGTTTTATTTGGTCCCTGGAAATTGTTTAACTAATTACTATTAAAGTTCTCTGGTTAAGTTGAACCTCCTAAAACTCAAACTTTTGTTAATTTGAACCGTTTTTTTTGGCCCTAATTTATTTTGATTTCATTATTACCTATGGGAACTTTTCTTATGGGTAATAATGTAAAACATAAATAGTAGCCTATTTTTTACATTTTTTCATTGTATTTAATTTGGAATTAAAAAGATTGTTAACAGCAGGCATGGTCAGAAGCAGGTACAATCACTCTCTATTCCTAACCACACATATAATATTTAGCTGTGACAACTTGGCCACAGCTTTTTTAGATGTTTTGAGAAAATTCAATTTTATGCTTTCTTTCGTGTATGTCCAAAAAATTAAGTTTTAACATGCTTAAAAAATCAACTTAGTAACATTATTTTTTTGTAATTAAATATATAAGCAAAACGCTTTTAAACAAATCAAGGGTCTCACTTTTTATTGATTGTTTATAAAAAGAAATTTTTTTTCCTGAATTATTTTAAGTTGAGTAAGTTTAAATAAAAATTATATAAAGTTTAGTAAATTATATAAATAAAGATTATTTTTTTATTATTCAAGTCTAAATCTTTAAAAATAGTTTTTACATATTTACATAGTGAATTAAGAGTGGATGCACCAGAGGATCAAACAAAACACAAACATACATTTAAATTAAGTGACTTGCAGCTCAACCAGCACTGTGCCAAAGGTCCTTACAAAACACAAACATACAAATAGATTAAAAAACCCACTCACTAAACATTTTATCATAGGTATTGTAGGGCAGTTCTGTCTCCTCCTAAATTATTTTTACCTTTTTAGTTTAACCATAAAAGTATTTTAAAATAATTTGATCCAATAAAAATGTGCTTTTAGTTTGCAAAAGACTAAAAATAAAATTATTTATAATATATATTATATTATAATAAACCGATAGACTTCAGTAAAAATAACATTATTAATTGTATACTTAGTCTGCAGTTTGAATACTGATCATTATTATTATTGGGTTTTTCTAGGGATATTTAATAAGTTTATGAACTATTATAACCAACTTTAACATTATAGCTTTAACATTGTCAACAAAAATAATTATTAACTATTATTATTAACTAAATTATTATTAACTATTATTATTAACTATTATAACCAATAATAACAGCTTTCAGAGCAGTGTTACTAATATTTGTATCACATTTTAAAGACACTGTTAAAAAAAAGACTATTATAATATTTTTTTTCAGGGTTGGAAATAAAAAACCTGCCCAAAAAAATCTGCTAAATAAAACCCAATAAAATCTGTCTAAAAAAACCCAATAAAACCCGGGAAAATCTGGGTTTTATTGGGTTTTTCTAAGGATATTTCATAAGTTTTGTGAACTATTATGACCAACTTTAACATTAAACTATAATATTATTAACTAAAGTAATTATTAACTATTATTATTAACTAAATTATTATTAACTATTATTATTAACTATTATAACCAATAATAACAGCTTTCAGAGCAGGTTTACTAATATTTGTATCATTATTTGGAAATAAATTATTACACTTTTTATTCAAATATTTTTATCAATTGAGATTTTTTATTCTTTTATGTTTTTCACCTCACAAGGTGAATTTAAATGAGTAGTAGTGGACAGAGAAGCCCACTACAGTAGAGGGGGCTACCTTATTGTGGTTACAACTCTCTCTCAACTCTTTAACTCCTAAACACTAGTCTTTATAAACAAGGCCGCTGTGCAGAGAAACAAGTTTGTTCATTTGAATTTCAAGTTCAAAGTTTAATTAAAACTTCAGTTACCACCTCCAATTCTCTAGCCTTCTTTTTTCCATTTCTCATTGACATTTTTAATTATATAGAAAATACTTTCAAATTTAAAATAAATCAGTATAAATAGATTTAACACGTAATTTTTTTTTTCTATTACAGTTTTAAATTATATTTAAAATGATTTTTTTTTTTAAAACAATTTGAAAAATTTTTGTTATAAATTATTAAATAACAATATATAAAATATATTTTAAATTAAGTTAAAGTAGAAAATAATTTTTAATATTATTAAACAAAAAAATATTTTTTTTTTTAAAGAGACAAAATAAAAATAAAACCCAAAAACATAAATTTACTCAATAAAACCCAAAATTACCCAAAAAACCCCACTGAGCTAGGTTTTTAAAAAAAAAGTCGGGTTTTTGCCAACCCTGATTCTATTGTAACTCAACAATTTAATTATTCTATTTTTTTATCTACTAAAAAGAATTTTTTCGAGCATTTTAAACTTTGCAAACTGTGTAAAGCATGAAATGGTTATAAAAAAAACTTTTTTATTTGTTAGATAATTAAACTAACTGTAGTTTTATTAGAATCTTGTTAAAATAAAACATAAATACACAAATAAAGAATTATATTATACTCTTGATAAATTAAAGAGTATTTGTTGAATTTTTTAAAAATTTAACTAAAAATCTTATTAAACAATCATTATTAGTAAATTGTTACTATATATAATTGAATGGTGAAAAGGTTATATCAGACATTTTTGTTGAAGTAAATTTTGAGGCTGAAGAAGATTAAGGTAGTAAGGTTGATGTATGTTAAGCCCTGAAGGTACTACAAAGCCACATGTAATTCAATGACACTTGGGTGTATATTCATAAATTTATCAACTAAATGAACATAACTGTTAAAAAATATCAGAGACAATTATACACATTTATGCAAGTTGGTATACGTAACTTCATTCACATTTTTCATGCTTTTATTAGTATAAAATTACTATAGCATTGAATAAAAGAACATCTCAAACTAATATCTCAGTCAAAGTTTAACAGGAATTTGTTTAGTTGAACATTCATTAAGTTATACCATTTTTCAAGGTTTGACAAAATGAATACTTTACTTAAATTCTAAATAAAATAATAAAAAATAGAAACTACAAATGTATGTTTTTTTAAAATTCTGAATAATTAAAATAAAAACGAAAAAATTAACATTTGAATTGATTCTAAATTAAATAAAATTAAAAAGAAAAACAATGTTTTTTTAATAAAACTTAATAAAATTATTGAAACAGAAACACATATGTTTTATTTAAATTCCAAATATGAACCTTTTGTTAAAATTGTAAGCAAAACAACTAAATTAAAAAAGTGAAAATTTTTTTCTATAAATTCTAACTAAAATAATTAAAATAAAGTTGGTAAATCTTTCAAAATTTTTTTTTCAAATGTTTAAATGAAAAGTTGGCAAACTCCTTTGTACATTTCTACATCAAAATATATTTAAAAATAGTTATATGCTGCCTTTTTATTAAAATCAATTTACATATTATATATATATATATATATATATATATATATATATATATATATATATATATATATATATATATATATATATATATATATATATATATATATATACACATATATATATATATATATATATATATATATATATATATATATATATATATATATATATATATACATATGTATATATATATATATATATATATATATATATATATATATATATATATATATATATATATATCGTATAACAAGAAATGACTTTTAAAGATTTTATATATATATATATCTGTGTGTGTGTGTATGTATCTATAAATGTATGTATACTGTTTAGATTTTTGTCTATATTTTTAAATAAATATATGTTTTTAAGTCTAAGATATTTATTAGAAAAAAAAAGAATAGTAACAAAAAACTTCTTTTACAGTGATAGATCTGATATAACTTTGTTTTCTCCTGGTGTAAGATGCAGTTTTATATACATATACATATATTTTTTGTATATTCATCAACCTGGTTAGTTTCTACCTAAAAATAATATCAATTGCAGAAATAAAAAAATCATTTGAAATATTTCTTCATTCATATTTCTTCATTCATACTTTATATTGTATTTATTTGTATATTGTACAAGTATTCTGTTTAATTATGTATTAATTTTTATTATATTTGATTATACAATATACATAATGTATAACAAATATAAATGTTGTATACATTAATGCACATAACATTTATATGAGATTTACATTGTTGTATATTTCTATACAGTTTAGTTATCTACTTTGTAATATATATGTCTTCTATATCAATGTTATTTACTATGTAATATATTTGACAAAAATGTTTTTTTAGGTGACAATCAAAAATATACACATCAGATATGAAGATTCTGTATGTATACATGTTATTTATTTATATAATTGTTATAGATATGCCACTTTTTTAGGGAAGAGGTGAGTGATAGATGAAAGGTGTATCATTAAGCTTTTTTTTAATGCTAATGAATTTTAAAAAAACAATTTTTTACTTGATATTGACATACTGGTTAAAATATGTCAATATGTCAACAAATAATAAACATTTAACATTTAATATCAACAATTAATGAACATTTATTTGATATATCAACAACACTTTTTGATATTAACTTGTGTACTACCATTAGATGGATCAGTTTAAACTGAAGCTGACTCTATATATAATATTTAAATAATATTTTTTTACATTTATGATACATTAAATTTTTAAAAATATTGTAGTAAAGGTTTAAAACAACTACAGTAAAAACAAATTTTTAGCTTTTTTACTTGTTTCCCAGTTATTGGAGAGGCAAATTTATATATTTCTGAAGATGGCTCACTTCTTTTTTATAATAATAACAATATCAATAATAACAATAATAACAATAATAACAATAATAATGATAATAATAATAATAATAATAATAATAATAATAATAATAATAATAATAATAATAATAATAATAATAATAATAATAATAATAATAGTACTGATAATAATAATATGAAATGATATTTTTTATTTTTTATAATATTAGACAAAAAATAAAGAACAAAGATAGGTCATTAATGCACATGAAATATTTGGTTCAATTTAATTTTTTATTTTGAAATAGACAAGCGATCCAACAGCTCCATTTGCAGTTGGTGTCACTCTTGGAAGTTTGACAGCTTTGGTAAATATCTCTTTCTTTAAAAATACACAAAAATTTAATATCTATCTATTACGTTTAATATTAAATTTTGTTGTTTAATTTATTATGGTTAGAATATATTTCTAACTAGCTGGATCTAATTTGTATGTTTAGTTTGTTTTCATTTTCTACTAGCCAAATTTAATTTGTGTGCTTAGTTTATTTTCATTTTCTACTGATCTAATCATGCTATGATTTCTCTTAATTTTTTGTAGTTTCTTATATAGTTTCTTGGATTGCAAGCATTGATACTTTTATGTCCTTTAGTTAAAGTCAAGCCCTACTTCTCTTTAACTTTTACCAGAGAATTAAAAGTTAAGATGTTTGAAAATTAATTACTTGAAAAATTATAAACAAGTATTAAGTATTTTCACTTAGTTATCTAATATTAAAATTTATCTAATATTAAAATACACAACATACATATTTTTTTTATTTGTTTTGTAGACAACAGATGATAATTTTGTTCCTCAAGTCATCAAAGAATCTCTGACCATTATTAATAAGGTAATTTTTAGATCTTTTAATTTTTATTCTTTTAGTTTAAAAGGTGGCACATCTTGTTAATGTGCGCGAATTGCTTTTACATATTTTTATTATTTCTTCAGTGAATATCACTATGTAAATAACACTATTTAAATCATTTTTTGTCTTTGGATTCAAAGACATGTTATATTTTAATTGCTTATGTCTAAGTGTTGTAAAAAATGGTGCACAAATTTTGATTTAATGGCTCTCTTTTCTCCCCGTACCATTCTGTACCATTCTCCCTGTATTCTGTACCATTCTGTACCATTCTCCATGTATTCTGTACCATTCTGTATTAGAGTACAATATTAGCATAAACATATTTTAGTACATCAATATATATGAAAACTTTGTCAATTACAATTTTTTTATTTCCAATTTTTCAAGTTTTACATGATAAAGCACATCTAAACCAAAAGTAATTATTCAACTTATCTTGATGAGTCTTGGAATATTTGCTTGAAAAATGCAGTAATCAGGACTTGTCCTGATTCTTCATCAGCATGCCAAAGTTGTAGGCCTCACACATTTTACAACTTGATTCCACTGACTTTTGAATTTTTTGATCATACCTTTTCGGTATTGACTATAAATTTTCCACACACAAAGCAAATAAATTCATCTGCTGGGTGCAAATAACCCCTTAATTACATTTAAATTAAACAGTTGCTTTTTAAATACTGTTTGTTATTCATTTATTGACCAATAACACAAACTGAAATGCTCAGTATTCAATACAAATCAAGATCTTTCTCAAAAATGCATAAATTTAAAAACATCATTTTCACTAAAGATTTTGTGGAATAGCATCTACTTTTTATTTATTCTCAGAAAAAACACAATTTCAATGAAATAAACAAAAATAACAATTTATTGCATAGTACTATCTTGTACTATGATATTTAGTAATTTCAAGTTTAATAAGAGTTGAAGGATTATTTTAAAAGTTTTTCCTTTTGAAGAAATAAAATCATGCAGTAAGTCTAAGATCTTAGTAAACATTGTTTCAATTTTTTAAAATTATTTTTGTTATTACAGTTATTGAAGCTTGATTACTTAGCATTGTATTGGAATTCTAAAGAAAATTCTCACCTGGATGAAAAAGAAAAATGGCTGGTATGTAGAACAAATATTATTTTTGTATAAAAAAAAGTATTTTTTTTTTTTATCAAAGTGAAAGCTTGTGTAGAATTTTTTTTTGTTATCTTTATTGTTTTTTTTTTTAAAAGGAATTTTCCAGATCACAAATATCAACCAGCCAAACCCAGCCTAAAGCTATTAAATATAGTAAGTTTAAAAGTTATTTTAAGATAATACAAGCACACTTTTTATTCTTTGATTAAATCTTCTTTTTTTCTTGTTTTAATTTTACTTTGCGTTTAATACTTATAGGTTTTATTTTTTAAATCATTTTCTTTGGGCCAATACTACACTAGTACACTACCTCAGGGGCGTACTTGCTCCAAAAAGCACATGCAGGATTTTTTTAAAAAGACCTATATATGCGGGATTTCACCAAATAAGCTTGATTTGAAGGCCCACATTTGTATATATATATATATATATATATATATATATATATATATATATATATATATATATATATATATATATATATATATATATATATATATATATATATATATATATATATATATATATCAATAAAAAACTTACCTTATCCAGTTAAATCAACATACTAAAGCAGCGAATTATAATTGGATTTCCTTAGAATTAAAAATGGCACTTAAAATAAAGCATGTTTTATTGTGCTGCAGTCAGCATGTTTTATGTTTTCATTCCTAAAAATAAACAAATTTCACCGTGTTTTTATGGTAACCAATAGGATTTTTATTTTATTGTTTAAAATACACTAACATTAAAATTTAATAAGTCTATATATTATTATACTATATATATATATTATACTATATATATATATATATATATATATATATATATATATATATATATATATATATATATATATATATATATATATATATATATATATATATATATATATATATATATATATACATATGTGTGTGTATATATTTATTATATATTTTTTATTATATATTATTATACTAAAAATATATATATATATATGTTTATATGTATATATATATATGTGTGTGTGTGTGTGTGTGTGTGTGTGTGTGTGTGTGTGTGTCTGTGTGTGTGTGTGTATATATTTATTATATATTTTTATTTTAGTGTTATTACATGTACAAGAATTATTGTGTTTTATGTTATATAAACAAAGTTTTTGAAAGAAAACTTATTTTATAAAAAATTTTAGTAAATTGGCTAAATAACTGTACCATTATTTAGTTGTATTATTAAAATATATAGATATATCAATATTTTAATAACTATTACTTTAAAGATTGATAGATTATAAATATTTGGAAATCTTCCCTTACGAAAAAAAATGTGTACTATATTGAACACCCTGAGCCGTAGAGAAGTGATGAAAAATTATTTATAAAGTACAAGCTTTAGTACAAAAGGAAGTGTTTATTGAGTTACAAAACATTGGTACAACAATTTTTTTTTTTTACGTGCCTCAAGAAGTCCTTACGGTCTTATCAACTTGAAGTTCAAATTGAATGTATACACTTTTTAAGATTTCAAATCTTAAAAAAAAAGCTATAATTACAACAAACACGGATTTTACAACTATTTTTTTTGAAAAAAAAGAGGGTACTAAAGTTTATAATGTTAACTATTAGTTTCAACAAATTTGCGGTTGCTGAAATGAATGAGTCTGGAATACTTTCAAATAGAAATAAAATGCTTAATTTATTTATTTGTATATATAGAAAAATTATTTAACTACTTTTTAAATATCTGTAGAACATACAATAAGAGCAATTTTATAAAAACTCACAAAAATTATTTATATTTAAAAACGTTACAATATTTGTTTATAAAAAAACAATAAATCGTTCTAATTTAACAAAAATTTTATCAATATGAATATTTTTCCATAATTTAAAATTGAACACAATTCTCATAATAATCATTGGTTAACTTAAATAGTTGTATCTATATAACCACTGATGTTATAAGCGATTTAAGTGACATAACAATCAACTATTTTTTCCAATATCGACTTTGTTTTGAGGCAAAAGTTACAAACGATTGCATTTTATTATGCAAAATACTAATATGTATGCGCTTGAAGTTCAACAGTTCCGATCAGAGATTTGTTAAAGAATTTAAGTGGAATAAAAAATAAAGCAAATAAATATCATTTGGGAATCATTTTCAGAATGCAGTAAAGGGTATAAAAATTCAAAAAAAAGGCCCTTCTAGATTAAATAGCGACAGGCTCAAGCGGGATTCCTGCATAGCCTCTGGGGCCAGCACGCCACTACTCTACCCCAGCACACTACCTGTGCGCTGGTAAGGTTAAAGATGCAATACCATTTTTTTTTAAATTCAAGAACTACTGTCAAGATAAGGTTTTCAATCAAAAGCTGGTGCAACAAAGCAGTTAGAATGTGTATGGATAGGGATATATTTGTTTATATAAGAAAATTTTGTTTGTTTTCCACCATGAAAAAAGCATATTCTCAAAAGTTGATGCATTACATTCTATTGGCCCATCATGAATAAAATGGAATTAAAGTCAACTCTGGAAATAATGAAATATGAAGACTTATGTGTGTGTGTGTGTGTGTGTGTGTGTAAGTATATATATATATATATATATATATATATATATATATATATATATATATATATATATATATATATATATATATATATATATATATATATATATATATATATATATATATATATATATATATATATATATATATATATATATATATATATATATATATATGTATATATATATATATATATATATATATACACACACACACATATATAAAGAATTTAAATTATTGTTTTTTTATTTTAGTATTGCAACCAATCATTGCATCTAAAAAGCTAAAGATTAACACAAAACCTGGCCTTGATATGAATATTCCTAAGGTTGATATTTTAAAAATATTCTTATTAATTTTATTGTGCTATTTATAATATAATATGTGTGCTTTAGTTGATGTATAAATTATTTAACACATATGGTGTGCCTATATTACCAAATGCAATCAAAAATGTTTGGGAAGTAATAAAAAACAAAAGTTTAAAATTTAATACAGAAACTAACACAGCTAAAAAAATAGGTAAATTCCCAGTTAACCAGTGTAACTTGGGATTCAACTGGGATTCAACTGGGGAAAAAAAATGCTGGGGTCCATTACATGGGTCCAATTGTGATTCTGCCAGCGGGATCCAACTGGGTCACATCTGGGATCAGTCTGGGTTTTTGACGGGAAATCGCATATTGAACCCAGACATTTTTTTCATTAACCGTAGGTTTTCTCAATTTTTTAGTTAGTTTTTTGCAGATTTTTTGTATATCGAATCTGCAAAACAATGTTGTGTTTTTTATATAAAATTAAAAAGTAAAGGTTATTTATATTATTTATATTAAATTTGCTGTCAATGCAATAATATGTATTAGGCAAATGAATATTCGGTCTGACATAATTTTTACGAATCAATTTAAAAAATAGATTTGATTTTCATAATATTTTTAAGCAACAAAAAATTATTATCAATGATTTGATGTAAAACTGTTTTAAGATGGTAATTTTCTGCTACAGTTGTTCTCTCATATTGCCACCATAATTGCATGACCAAATTCTGCTTTAAAGTTTATTGTTTCTTTAGTGCTAAATTAAAAATAAACATTTGAATAATATAATAATTTATAGCAAATATATTTACAAAGTATAGATAAAAATATTTATTAATAATATTTTTTAGAGCATACCATGCCACATTTTGCATATAACTAACAAACACTAGGCAAACAAAAACATGCATACAAATCACAATAAGTATAACTCAATACAGTATATAAATTGATATACCTGTTAGAACTAAGATAACTATAGCCAGGTTGAAGTAAAGGCCCAGGGTAGGACATTTATTTATTCTCATAGTGTTTTGTTACAAAAATTGCAAATAATAAAATACAAAAATGAATACTGGAGAACTGAAACCTCAATATGATACCATGAATAGTGGTGTTTCAACTTCTTTAGTTCCCATTATCTAGTTTTAAAGTTTCTTCAGTTTTTCTTTTTAACAAGCATCCTGCAGGGAATCTTAATTCATGTTATTTTACGGTTAATGTTTGATGTTATTAATTAGGTATAACATAAATAGACTTGTAAACAACATGACTACTATGTTACCATATAAAATTTTAAGTCTTGACTTAAGTTAACATGACATCAAACCCTTAAATCAGTTGGTGAGGGTTTATTAACTTTTATATAACTTAATAAATGCAAAAATAATCAATATCAATAACATTTATTTAAAATGTCTAATTAAACAATAATCATTTTAGATAACATCATAACTTGAAAATAATTATATGTTATAATTGAATTGGTGAATGTTAAAAGAGAGGAAGTCCAATAATATAAACTTTTGGGAAACAAAAAAAACCTGCATTTTCCCCTGTAGTAATTTTTTGTTAATGGTTTAATAATTTTTTTTTTGAATGTGAAAAACAATATTCTCTTCAAAAAAAAATTATTAAACCATTAACATAATTTTACTATGGGGGAAAAGACAGTTTTTTTTAGTTTCCCAAAAGTTTACATAGTTGGACTTTCGCCCTTTTAACATTCACCATTTCAATTTAAACATATTGAAAAAAATTAAAAACAATTACTTTGACCAAAATATGTTTTTTATTAAAATTATTTTCACAATGAAAATTTACAATTATAAACAAGTGTATATACTTATATTAATTTATATTCATGATTATTCAAACATAACATATTTCAATTATCATGGACCAAAATTTATTGTTTGATTCCATGTTGTCTTTGAGCTACATTTTGTGGTTATATATTAAATTTGTTTCATAGCAGATTCTAAAAATTATATAACACCCTAATAAATTGATTTAACACAATTATTATACATTGATAACTTTTAAACTTTACTACAGTGTGATAATCAGCATCTATTGATGACAATACATGCTGCCATTAAACTATTAAAAAGTTGTCTATTGAAATGGTATCGCATAAATAACATACACACTTTACCATATATGAATATTATTACTAGTAAATATTATTCTACTAATCAACTGATAAATGAAAATAAAAATAAAAACAAACTAACATTGAGGTATCAAATGAAGTTTATGTGAAAAATCCCTCAAATGTATATTCCTATCAAATCATGTCACACTACTGTATATGTCCTTTTTAAAAAGTTTTTTACCTTACATATTCATAAACGTTTAGTTAAAATAATGTAAAACAAACTATTCTTGATCTAAAAATATGTCCTATAATTATAACAATCACATTCCCAAGTAATTCACAGTTCTATTCCTAGTAATTCACACTTTTATTCATAAAATTAATCCATTCACAGAAGCCCAGATCAATAGTAGGAAAAACCTGTATATTTTACTAATTTTATATATTTTTAATATACAGTAATTATTTTATTTGTTTTATCAAGCTCTGTAAACTAATAGTTTGACATATTAAAACTCAAAAAAAAAACCTTTCCTAAACTTTCAGAAAGTTTAGGAAAGAAAACCTTTCCTAAACTTTCTGAAATGAAAATATTCAAAATAATGTTGTCAGATTAAGTGTAAACTTACTAGATTTAGATGAAACAATATATGGGGTTTTACATAGCGTTTATGTGTAAAAAATTAACATTTGTGGAAGTAATGTATTTTCTGTTGTTAACAATAAATCAACACAAACCAACTCTAAAAACAAAACATAGATACCTCTTAAATAAAAAAAAATGAATTAAGTTTTATACAAAATAACATACATAAAAAATGTATTACCAAAAAAGTTTGATATCTTTTTTATAACTTTGTAAATAAACATATTGTATATGACTATATGATATCATATAACACAATGAAAATTGACTGCTATAGCAAATGACAAATACAAAACATTCATGATTATTCAAACATTAGGTTTTTGCAATATTTTGTATCAAAACTACATTTTCAATTTTGTATTGCACTTGAGAAGCATTTTATGATTGTATATTTAATTTATTCCAAAACATATTTAAAAAAAGTTATATAACATCCTGTGATAATTAATTAAAAAACATCTTAAAACTCAACATTTCCCTCTTTTAGACTAGCCAAATTGTTTGTTAAACCAATGTCTAAATATTGCTATCAAAATATATACACCTTTTTTATTATAGATTATATTAGACTAATCGGTATGTAAAATTGACACAATGTCTATGGAGGCACCACGTCTTTTTCTTATCTTATTTCTAAAAAAACTTTTATTGAAAACAATGCCAATAAAGCTGCTCTTGATAAAAAAATATACACTACCTTCTTATGATATAAGAAATATATTACATTCTTATGCTATTAGAAAAACCTTCTTATACTTAAAGATATACCTTCTAATACTATAGGAAATATATTAATTGTATTACTTATAAAATATGTAAAATCTGACATTTAATAAATGTAAGGTTTTAATTTTTTTCATAAGTATGTAAACTTAAGATATTATTTATAAATACATAAACCATTTATTAAATGATTTATGTATTTACAAATAATATGTAATGTTTACATATGGCAGTGTTACAAAGTAAAACTTTGCTATGTTTTGCTTTAAAAATTTGTCAAAGTCACTTTACAAAACATAGCAAATTCGAAGGTTTTTCAAAAAGTCTTTGAGATTTGTTTGAAAAAAAATTTAAAGTTAAACACACTAAGCCATTACTGTAAGCTCGCTAAACCATATAAACTATTTTGAAAAATTTTCAACATTTGTCTATTGTATAAATACAGAATATGCCTTCAGTTTGATAAAACATTTTACAAGTCTGTTAAAAACTAAACATTAACATATCTCAAACTTATTAATAGCTCAGAAATTCAGTCTGAATTTCAGTCTAAAATTTGAGAGCATGTTTCATTTTCTTTTTTTTATGAAATTGTTTTTTAAATGGATGACTAAATATTAATTTTAACATATTTTCACTTGTAATATAGAATTTAAACTGATATGTAAATATTTTTTACAAAAGTACAAAAAAAAACCAAATTAAGTTCCTGAGTATATTTACTTCAAATGCAAGTGTATATTCAATCTGAATCAAGCTGCGTTAATGCATATGTCATTTTAAAAAAAAATTTTGTAATTTTATTTATACAAAACTTTTAAATAAAAGCGATACCAAAAAAACTGCTTTGATTAGAAAATACATGCTTCAATTAAACCACCTGTTCCATCTTTAAACCAGCTGTAAACCATTTACAGAAGCCCCATGCCAAACCCAGTAAAAATCTAGATTTTATTTGCGGCATTATTTTTATACCATATGGGGCCCATCTGGCACCTAGAACAAATCCCAGCTTGAATTCAATCCCAGCAATCCCAGCTCAATTTTAGTCAATCCCAGCTGGGACCCAGTTGTGCTTGTTAACTGGGTTTTAATTTAATAGTGAAAATAGTATAAATAAAAATTTCTCATTCAGAAAAGAGTTGAAATTGACTTGAAATTTAAATATGATTAATTTTTCACAACCAGATAAGAAAAAATTTAAGTTACATTTTTAAGTTTATTTTTAGTTCTTTTTTTTTGAGAGTTTTTGTTTATTTAAAGCGGAATCACCAGTATTGTTTTTGTTGAAAAAAAAAAAAATAGAATTTGAAAAAAAATTAATTTCAAATTATTTTATATATGCTGTTACTAAGTTACTAAGTTGCAGTTAGTAACTTAATAACAGCATATGTTGTTATGCAGAATTAAAAATATAATAGGCAAATTGTTCTAAAGTTTTTCATATTTAATGATTTTAATTTTTTCAACTAATTGAAAATTTTTTCAGATTTTCTTCAGTTTAATAATGGAAGAGCTTGGTATAGTTTTATTTCGATCTCAATATCATGGCCTTATGAAATTGCTAGAATCATTTGAACGTATGAATAGAAATATTCCATTTCGAAAGTATCGCCCTTTCATTTCTCTAAAGGAAAATGTTCGAGCATGGTGAGTTTGTCTGTACATTTTATGTAAACATATCAGTGTAATATGTTGGATGTTCTAAGAAGTTGAAGGAAAGTACTGGCATCCAAGTTTTTATCAGATTACCAAGTTTTATCAGATGAATGTGTTTATCAGATGATAAAGTCAGATTTATTTTTGTCAGAAGTTTTATTGGAAGTTGCCAAGTACCAGGTTTTCAAGTCTTACCAAGTTATTAGAATATATCAAGATTTTCAGATTTTCAAGTTTTTCAGATACCAGGCTTTTTAAAGTTACCAAGTTTTTTCCAGCATAAGTTTTTAAAAATTTACTAGTATTTAAGTTTTAAAAGATTTCTATTTCTGTTTATATCAAGTTGCCAGGTTTTACTAGTTAACCAATTTTTCTCGATTTTTACCAGATAATAAATTTTATGAATTTTACCAAGTTGATAATTTTTTTTCCAGAATAATAGCACTTGCTTAGTTTTATCCAGGAAACCATTTCAGGAATCAGGCTGCTAAATTTTATCAGGTTACTGATTTTTGTCAGTCCACAAGTTTTATCAGATTATTGAGTTTTATCAGTTTAAAAGTTTTATCAGGTTATTGATTTTGTTTGTCCACAGGTTTTATCAGTTTACTGATTTTTGTCAGTCTACAGGTTTTATTAGATGACTGAGTTTTATCAGTCCACAGGTTTTACCGGGTTTGTAAGAACTGAAAAAAAATTGTTCAAGTATGGACAGAATAATTTTTCAAATTGTATGTAGCATCCTTGATGTCATTAATTTCCTTGCATTAATTGTCATTGATAACATCTTTCTGCAACAGCCATATTGGGAGTGAAGTATCTACACATTAAGTATGTCGAGCAAAATGTCTTTTTAGCTGTTCACGAAATGTCACTGATGACATCATAACAAAATAATTAAAAACAAAAATAATAATATTTTCATTTTTTTTATTATTCTTTTTATTTTTCTTCCCATATCGTTTATAATAATATATGTAATATAATTTATTATCAATAAAATTTATATTAGTATAAGCTGTTAAGTAATTAAATTAGTTTTTAATTAAATTTTTAACAATGATACATTTCACAATCAATGCTGGCAGTTTTTTTTTAACAAATGCATACATAATTAGTTTTTATTTCAACAACAACAAAAAATTTATAACAATAACTTTATAACATAATAAAATTTTTTGTAAAGTATCAGGGCGGATGACACCAGAAAGAAGGGGGGCACTTTTTATTCTAAAGCACCTTTTTCTTTTTAGAAATTTCTAGATATAGGGGACTTTTTTAAAAAATTAACAATTGTGCCCTTGCGCTTTGAAACCTGTATCCTTGCCCCTGAACACCCAGGTTAATATTTAGAGTTTTACATTATGTCATCTATTTCCCAGCATTCAAAAAATCATGAAATTACTCAGATTGTTGATCTATTTTTCCTTCAATTTATTTTTTTCAGTTTAGGACATCTGTTTCTTTTCCTTAGTATTCTTTTTACAATTGCACAGTAAGATTCAATTACTACCTGCTTGAGTTTGATGGATTAGCATTGTTTGAAACAATATTATTTTGAGCAATATTATTATACCATTCCACTTCAGCACCAGATCATTTTACAGTTGCTTTTTAATTAGAGAAAGTAGTTTTTCCAAAAATTCTAAGTAATTATTGCGCTAAATTTTTGTGTTATTAATTTGAGATTATCTAATTGCTTTGATTTCTCTATGAAGTGAAATGTTTGGTATTATTTTGGCTTTAGGTTTTTCTTTTTTATCAAAAATTAAAAAAAAAAAAAATCTACTTTAACCTCTTTTAGTTTTTTAATTTTTTTAATTAAAACTTTAGTTTAAAATTTTCAAATTTGGAAGTTTGTTGTGGATTTGACGAGTTAAGTTGACTATAAGTTTTGCCTTCTTTTTGATCCTTGATTTCTTGGAACTCTTGATTTTGTGTTTACAGTTTCACTATCGATACTATGGAGTATAAAAATGATGTATTTTTATATTGCATAGTTTTTTAGATGTGAGAATCACTGAGATGCCATTTATTTGTATGAAGTTCATTAAATTATTTTAAGGCTGTAATGCTTCTTGCCTTATGAACTGTCTAATGATCGATTTTGCTTATATGTTACTTTAGAAAGTTTATTGTAATACTTTTTAAAACTTTGGCTTTTGGTTTTAAAAAATGTGTCAGGTTAAATATTGTTTAACAAAACAATATAGCTTAATCTGTTTTCTTTTTCTTCTTTGTTTAAGAAGTCTTAGGATTTAAGTTTGCACTTTAAAAGTTAAAATAAACAGTATATAGTAGTATCATGCAGACCTGCAATAGTAGATTATAGTAAATGATAGTTTAATTTTTTCAACTGCTGAGGTGTACTTTTGTTTACTTAAATCCAATACTGTCATTTTTTAGGTTTTCATATTATATTCTTGAATGTAATATGAAATTTGTAATATAAATTGAACTTAGTAACCTTTTATTAGGTGGATTTATTGCATAACAAGTGTTTTAAAAGAAGATGTAAATAGAAGATTTAAAATGTGGAGTTGGCAACATATTTCAACATACAGGTATCAGTTTTTAAGTTTATCAAGTTTTATTAGTTTATCTTTATACAGCTGTATGAAAAACTTAATTTTTTAAATTTTATTTAAAATTTCACAAAATATTTTATGTACAAAAAACTGAAAATTTATACCTGTACAAGTTTAATTTTTCAGTTTTTTGTACATAAAATATCTTTATGTATATTGTGAAATTTTAAATAAAATTTTCAGTTAGTAAAAAATCAAGTTTTTCCATGTCATTTTAAGTGATAAGAAATGTTGTTTAGCAACATTGCTTACGTCTTTTTTTTTCAAATTTTCAAAATTGTTCTTACTGTTTTGTTTTTGCAATTTTTTTTTCAATGTTTATGTATAAGAAATATTATTATCACTTAATTGTCAATATTATTACATTTATGTTCTTCAGTTTTTAAAGAACAACTAAATATGTAATTGTATTTGAACATTTAATTTTTAAATTAAATGTTCAAATGCAATTAGTTAAAATTTTTTTTTTGATACTTGGATTTTAAATGCAGTTGGTTAGAATATTTTTTTTTATTTGAAATTTTAGAAAACTCTGTAAGTTGTACAAAAAAAAGTATCAAGAAAAGTTGGAACAAAAGAATCCTTCAAAATCTCTTCTGGCAGATTTAGAAGTAAATCTTCAGTTTAAAATAATAAAGGATTGAATGAATGGCTTGACAAATTTTAATTTTTTACATTTTCAAAATTATTTATATTACATTTTATATTATAACAATAATTTATTATTACATTTTAAATTATTTAGTAATTTTTATTATCACATAAATTTTTTTAATTTTCATATCTTATATATTTTAAAATTTTATTATGCATTAAAATTGAATTAAAATGGAATTCGTTCTAATGTTTTTTTATTGTTATTGTTTCCTGTTCTTTTTAAAGAGTTTAATTTTTATTTATTTTTATTTATTTTTTTATTTTTTATTTACTTATTTTTTTTTTTATTAGAAAATGGAAAAAGATTTAAACATTGTTAGCATTACAATATTTCGTCAACTTGCTGAGAATGAGGTACAATTTTTACATAAGTTTGTTATTAATATTTCTAGTCAAAAAAATCATAAGTTTAATATTAAAATATAGTGGCTTTAAACTCATTTTTATTATCAATATATATTTTTTTCAATTTGTGCTAATAATTACCAAAATTAAAGCTGTAAAACTTTTTGGATCATTTTTATAATACGCTTGAGAGTCACTTAACTTCAGGGCTTTTTTCTCATCATTAACTTCAGGGCTTTTAATTTGGCTGTTCATTAAGACATAACGATGTGTTTATTAACACACAACAATGTAATGATATTTAAATTCCTTTTAGTAATTAGTACAAAACAAAGTTTGTCCTTGCTTTTAGATATTTTTTGTGTTAAAGATCTAATAACTTATTACTTCATAAGTTTTATAAAATGAAATAAAATTATTTTAAACAAAATTGCTTTTGGTAATGTTGACTTGTTTACTCGTTTTATCTAGTTTTTTTAATATGCCCAAGCACTTAGTTCAAACATCTGACAGATGTTTAACTATTTCATTATATATTAATCATTTCAAAAGTTAAATAATTTCAAAAGTTCTCTTGCTCTACGGCTGATTTGCTAGCTGCTGTAACTGAAAGATTTTATTATCTATTAGATAGAGGTGGAGAGGCTAGAGCTATTGCTCTTGACATATCTAAGGCTTTCGACAAAATTTGACATGTTAGTCTTCTCCAGAAGCTTACTTCATATAGTGTATCTAGGAAAGTTTTTGAGATTATCAAATCATTTTTTTCTAACCACTTTACTAAAGTCATTCTCAAAGGCCAACAATCTTCTTTATTTCCAGTAACTTCTGGGGTACCTCTGAGTTCTATTCTTGGTCCTATTTTGTTTCTTATCTACATTAATGATCTTCCCAACAACCTTACATCTAATGTAGTTCTTTTTGCTGACGACTCAACTTTATACTCCTGTTACGACAAAAAGTCTTAGAATAGGCAGCTGATCTTGAATCTGATCTCACTTCTGTAACTGATTGGGGCTCACAATACTTGTAAATTTTAACTCCAACAAAACTCAGTTATTTGCTGCAAAAAACTCACATATCACAGTACTGTCAACATTCCTATATTGATGAAAGGCAACCCTCTCACTGAGTCCTCTTCTTTATGTCTTCTTGGATTATTATTTACTACTGACCTTTTATGGAAACTATATATATAATCAATTACTAAATTAGCATCTGCTAACGTTGCTTTATAACTCTTTTCTTTTATTCTAGTAACTCCTAATTTAATAGTGGTTGCTTGCAGTCTAGTTGGGGATGAATCAGAATAAAATAAAAAGAAAAAGAATAATAATTTCAAAAGTTAAATTATTTCAAAAAATTACTGTGATAGTTGCTCAGCTTACAATCACTGAAAAGAAAAAAAAATCTATTATATAAACTATTATATTAATAGTATATTAACATATTAGATTTTCATTTTAAAAATTTTCTAATTTTTTTTTTTAATTGTTTTTTAATTTGTTTTATTTTAATTCTTGTTTAGAGTAATTAAAATTAATTTAGATTAAAAAATAAGTTTAGAATAAAAGTTAATTTCTAAATATAAGGTCTGAATAAAAATATGAAACAAATTATTTCTAAGTTAATCATTAAACCTAGTTGAACAAAATCTTAATGAACCATAACTTAGCTGTCAAATAATTTCAAGTTTAATTATTTAAATATTCTTAATAATATATTAAGGGTCTGAAATACAAAGTTTTGGAAATAGAATCATAACTAATGACTGCAAAATGAGAAAACTCGTCGGGAACTTGTTAGAAAGTTTTTTCAGTTAAGAAAATATAACTTTTTTAACTTAAAATAATCTAGTGGACTAGATTGCAATTACTATATATCTGTGTTTTTGACAAATTAGTGTGTTTTGATAAATATGTTTTATTTAGATGGCAGCTAAAATAATAAATTATAAGAAAAAAAAATTAAAAAAAAAAAAAAATTAAAGTTTAATTAATTTGGAGGTGTGGTTCATAATGTATATCAATTATAAGTTTGGTACTCAAAAATGTACTCTGCCAAACTGGGATTTAAATTAATAAAACTATAATAAATTTTTTTTGAAGGTTTGATATTACAATAAATATTTGTAGGTAAAAATAAAAACAGTAAAAAATATTAGCAACTTTATAACTAATCGTAAATTGAGATTTCCAACATATCATCAAAATATCTCTTTGGTTTTGAAAATATATGGTGAGATCTGCTTTTATGCTTAATTAAAACACGAACTTAGTAACTTTGGAAAACATGAATTAAGAACTCAGTTTAAGACACCAAAATCAGATCTAAATATGTTTAGATAGCTATTCTAGCTGTTTTGTGTATCTTTATTGTTTGCTTCAGGACTTTTCTCAGGTTAATTGCCAAAGCCATAACAATCATTAAGAATTATTATTTCAGTTTAGTGATAAAGGACTTCATAAAGAGTGCAGTAATTTTAATAGAGCACATTTGCATTTGGGTGGGTATTGATAAAAGGCGCAACACTATAACATAACTTAAAAATTGTCAATTTTAATTTTACATTGAAATAAAACTTTACATATATCTCAAATCTGAAACTAATAAAAACCTATCTAGCAGTTCCATGAGCTAAGAAAGATTTGTAGGACTTTCCAAAACAAAAAACGAAATGTCTTACTTAAAATTGAAATAAAATTTTATTAAAGAGTTTTTCAAAAATAAAGGTCAGACAGATACTGTTGAATTAGAAAAAAGAACTTTCCCAAAAAAAAAATCCCAGTGAAGTAAAATAATCAAACAAAATCAAATTATAAAATAAAATTTATAATAAAATAAAATTGTAACACTAAACAAGGAAATGAGTTTAAAAAATTTTCACATTTAGAAGGGGCAGCATTTTTAACTCTTGTCTTGGGTGCCAAAATACCAAATGCAATGTTTGCATTTGGTATTTTGGCACCCAAGACGAGAGTTAAAAATGCTGACTTGGTATTTTGGCATCCATATTTGGGTACCAAAATGCCAAATATCTGTTTAGATGGGTAAATAAAGGTTGTAGCACTATAACTCTTGAAAATGGTAAATTTTAATTTTACATTAAAATTATACTATACTAAATATTACACTGGCTTAAGAATGTAATAGTTAATAAAAATTCATCAATGTATATAGGAGTGAATAGATCTTTTATGTTAAAAATAAATTCTTTAAAATAAACTTGACTTTGTTGTAGTTGTCTCCCCAGAATTGCAACACATTTTTAGTTGTAGTCCAGGAGTCTTTTATCTTAATAATAACCCTGTCTTTTTAGCTGTTAGTTTTAGCTAATGCCAAAAAATATTGTTAATGCAACAGAAAATGGTCCTGTTTTTTTTTAACCCAAAGTCTGTAATATACACTAGCTATTTGGACCTCTGTTTTACAATACATGTTATTCTCCTCCGTATTTATAGTTTATAACTCGTTTCTCGTTTCTCAACTCGTTTCTCCGCGCAGCGGCCTTGTTTGTCAAGGTTCGTGTTTCGGAGTTATAGAGTTGAGAGAGGGTTATAGCCACAAAATAAGTAGCCTCCTCGTTTGTAGTGGCCTTCTCGGCCTTGAGGAGGTGAAGTAAAATAAAAAAAAAAAAAAAATATACTTATAATCCGATTCATTTATTTTTGAAGAAAATAATAGGTTTGAATGTAACATCTTACGTAAGCAAAAAAAATTGTCTCAATTAGTTAAAAAAGATTTAACTAATTGTTGTTGTTAGTGATTTTAATGCTCATCACACTGAATGACTTGGGTCTTGTGTCAGTGACTCTGCAGGCATTAAGGCCCACAACTTTTACCTTTCTCAATTTTTAACACAAATAGTCCACTTTCCATCTTACTTTCTGGACAATCCGAATCATTTATCTTCCCTACTCAACTTATGTCTTGTTTCTGATCCTAGTCTTATATGCTTCTGATCATGGTTTGATCTCTTTAAAACTATTATCTCATTTTTCTTCTTTTTCGAAATCCCCCTATCATTGCACCTCTTACAACTATCTTAAAGATTCTTCTACAGCTTGTGGTTGGACAACATACTTGTTATAGTCTTCCAGAAGTGTTTTATGAAGGTTTCATCTATACTTTCAAAACAATTTAAGAAGTGCTTATCAGAGTCTTATTTTCCAGCCTGCTGGAAAGCAGCATTTGTTATCCCTATTTTCAAAAATTCTGGAGAGCAATCTGACTTGTCTAACTACTGTCCCATTAGTATTCATACTATCATAACCAAGGTTTTTGAGTCTTTAATTAACAAACACTTAGTTTCTCATCTTGAATCTAATAACTTGCTTTCTGATTATTAATATGGATTTCGATCTTCTTGTTCTACTGGTAATTTGTTAACAGTAATAACTGATCGGTTTTATTGTGCATTAGATAGATGTGGAGAGGCTAAGGCTATCGCTTTCGACATAAATAAAGCTTTTGATAAAGTTTGGCATGCTGGTCTTCTCAATAAGCTCTCTTCTTATGGTGTATCGGGTAACATCTTTAAGATTATTGAATCCTTCCTTACCAATAGTAGTTTAAAAGTTGTCCTTGATGGACAACGCTCTTCTTCATATTCTGTAACTTCAGTGGTTCCTCAAGGTTCTATCCTTGGCCTTATACTTTTTTTAATTTAAAAAAGTATAGGGCCAGAGATAGAACCTTGAGGAACCACATCTCCCAGAAACTCTCACATCTAAGGTGGCATTGTTTACTGATGACACTACTATTTGTTAATGTCTTTATAAGAAGCCAAAACTCTCTCGTTGCTTGAAGGGGGTATTTGAGCTTGCAAAAGAACTCACTTCTGCTGCAGCATGGGGCTCTCAGTGGATGGTGAATTGTTATCACAATAACCTAGATCTTCCAATATTTATGAATGGTAATGTACTTGATGAATCAGCTGCCCAAATATCAAATTGATTGCAAAACCTAGCATCTGCTAAGGTTGCATCTCTGTATCGCGCTTGCCACTTTCTTACTCTTGAATCTTTTCTTTATCTCTATAAATCTAAAATCCTTTCTTTTATGAAATACTGCTGCCATATCTGGAGCAGATCTTCAAATAATGCCCTTTCTCTTTCAGACAAGGTGCAAAAACGTAGTGTAAACATAATTGGACCTGTTCTTGCGCCAACCTTCAACCATCGTAATGTTGCTTCTCTTTGTCTTTTCTATAAATACTACAAATATTCTCTAAAACGCTAGCATTTTTTATGTGCCATCTACTAAAGTTCCTTCTCATGTTACTCATCGTTCAATTAATTCTCATCTTTTTACTGTAACTGTTCCTAAATGCTCCAAAAATTCTTATTTATCTAGTTTATTTCCTCGAACATCAGTCCTTTGGAATTTGCTTCCTTTATGTTGTTTTCCTGATTTATATAATTAGCAATCTTTCAAGTTGTCTTTTAATCATTATCTTGCTTTATAAACTTCATCTTGTCTCTTCCAGTAACTTCTAACTCTAATAGTGGTTTCTTGTAGCCATGTGGTTGTGAAGATGTTGAAAATAAAAAATAAAAATTAATTACGTAAACAGCTTAATAAGTTAAGTGACATATATCTTAGAGATATATGTCACTTAAGTGACATATATCTCTAAGATATATGTCACTTAAGTGACAAAATAAATTTTTTAACACATTTGTATACAAATTTACAAAACATTTTATCAATTTTTTCAAATTAACAATAATTTTCAATTTTGATTACCTATTTTGCATAAATACATTATTTAGTTATTCTAAAAAAAAGTAATTTAGTTGAAAATTAAAATTAAAGGGAAAAAGACATTGCATTAAAAAATTGGTAAACTTGGAAGAATGTTCAAATAGACATACTGGTTTCTAATTCCATAAATGTAAACCAAGTTTCTTACATCCACAGCAGGCATACATTCCATTTTCATAATTAAAAATCTCTAGAGATTGCGTAGACCCTAATTAGACTACTTACTACCATTGGCAAAGTTTTTGAGTATTTATTGAACTCTAATTTCTTATTTTAAATCTAACAGTTTACTCACTAACAATCAATGCAATTTTAATCATCTTGTTCTACTGCTGACTTGTAATAAAAAGGTTTTATTTGTTTATAGAAGCTAAAGGTTTATTGCACTTGATATAGACATTGTAGGGGTTTTTCATATTCCTGTTATGTTGGCCTTAAGTTTTTTTTATATGGTAAATTTAGTAAAGTTCTTGATGAACAGCATTTTTCTTTCCAGTAACTTTTGCAGTAGCACAGTGTTCCATTTTTTGTCCTGTGTTTTTGTCCTTTTGTTCCTCATCTATATCATTGATCTTACTGATAATTTTACCTCTAAAGTGGTTCTAATTGCTGATGACATAAATATGTACTCCACTTTTTGGTTGTCTAGAAATGATCTTGATTGCTTTTCTTAAATATGATTTTTTTTCTGTGAGAGCTTGTGGCTTGTAGAGGCTGTTAAAAATTTTACAATTGTCTTTACCAGTCTTTGGAATTAGGGTCAATATGCGGTAATACCAACCTAACTGCCAACCTAAATGTGTTCGAGGTAAGCAATAATTCTCATTTCTATGATTTATAGAAAGCTATTTATGTCAAATTTCTTTTGCCATCCTGATGCTGACCTCTAACAGTTTAAGATTGGCAATATATTGCTGAGCTCATTTTTTCTAATTCTAAGGGCTACTTTACATGGAATACTGTTGTCATATTTGGGCTGGTACTTTCAATAGTTTTTTAGGACAAGGTCTAAAATTGCATTATATTTATATGCAGTTGGAGCTGCCAAGCTTGAGTCTCTTAGCTTTGAAAATCTCTTACTGTAAATACTACAACAGCTGCTGCTTAAGCAATCTCTACTTCCATAAATTGCTTGATGAATAAACAATCTCTTATGGAATGCAGCAGAAAATCAAAAACAGCACTCAATTTAAAAAGTCAATCATAAAAATGGTATGTGCATAAAATATATATATATATATATATATGTATATATATATATATATATATATACATATATATATATATATATATATATATATATATATATATATATATATATATATATATATATATATATATATATATATATATATATATACATATATATATGTACATATATATATATATATATATATATATATATATATATATATATATATATATATATATATATATATATATATATATATATATATATACATATATATATATATATATATGCAATAGCGATCATCGGGTGTAACAAAGAACAATAAGAAAATAAAACAATAAAAAAGAAAAATAAACAAACAAAACAAAAAGTGTAACAATAAAAGTTATATACAAATAATGCAATGAAGTTTCCGCTTTGATGACAATAACGTATTTAGTTAAAATTTAATGGAGGCACTTAGACACATGTTTGTTTTATTTATTAAGCAAATTTAATGGTGATTTAATAATGTAGTGCTTTTCCTACATTTCTACTATGCTTGTTCTGACATTAAATGAATATGGGGGTAGGGTGGGGGGTTTAACCAGATAATGTTACTTATTTGAGATCTTGTATTATTTGTTGGGATATTTGGAATGAAATCAATCTTATCTTTAAATCCATAAAAAAAAAGCGTAATCCGCAAAGACTGAGAGTGTGAAAACTAACAAAAAATAAACAAAGGATAATATTATAATAGGCTTACTGATTTTTATTATTCAAAGTAGTTTTTAGTATTAAATATTATTTTAGTTAAATCCTTTTTTCCTTTTAGAAATTCAAGCAATTTTAAAAATTTTTCAAAAATTTTATTTTTTATTTTTTTTATTTTAGACTAACCCCAAAATATATTTTATGATTGTTTTTTTTATTTCAGTTTCTTAGAAGCAAAAAAACAAAAGAAGAGAAGTCTTCATTTTTAAGTATATTTAAATCAAAAAAAAAAGATACAAATGAAAAAAAAGCTTCTAGCAAACTTGAAGGTTTATTTAATATTACTTTTTGGTTATAAATATATTAACTTGTTTTTTTAGTAGATTAAAACTATTTGAAAGTTTATTAAAGTAATAAAAGTTCATGAAATTTTTTCTTATTTTTTTTGTAGAGTTACTTGGAGTAGACAAAGATGCAGAGATGGCAAAATTGTACGAAGCTATTGGATATAGTGAAAATGAAGTTATAACAGCATTTCCTTCAAATGTAAAAAATCTTTTTTCAAAATCTTTTTTGTTTATCTTTATTTAATTTATTTTAGTTTTATGATGATATTAACACTTTTTTAGTGGGTATTCAAATAAGCACAACTGTATTGCGTAGCGGGTTTAATTAAAAAAAAAATAAAAAAATAAAAAAACATCAGTTTTTCAAATTTTTCTAATTTATGCAAGATTTATGGATAATTCTTCTAATAATAGCATTAGACAGATCTCGTAATGTATAACCATGTTATACATTACGAGACAAGTAGACATCAACGTTGTAATTACTCTTATAATAATTACTGCTTTATTTAAAAAAATTTATTGTCATTTTGTTTAATTGTATAAATACTCAGATACTTTTTTCTAATGCTGATGGAGAGGATAACGATCGCCTTAAAAGATCCGCCTTATTAATTCTTATTTTTTGCATAAATTTCAAGAAGTATACAAATTGCAGCTGTGCTTGTGCTGCGCATAAGAAAAAAAAGTTTAATCTGCCTTATGTGCCAATTTTGTGAAGTGCCTCTTCATAAGTAGTCCATAATCGTCTTTTTTTAGATTTTTTATAGTTTTTCATGCTGATTCTGAAAATCATTATCATTTTTTTTCATTTTAATTATTTAGCCTTCTACTTCGATTTTAATAAAAGTGAATATATTGACAAAAAAAGGCATTGTTAAAAATAGATGAAATTATTATTATCATTAAATATAAGAAAAGTAGAAAACTAGAAATCTTTTTCTGTTTAATTTAACAATAATATACCTTATCATTTATAAGTAACAAAAAAAATTAGGCATTATATATGAAAATAATTCATACAGTTTGTTATTTACTATTGAAAATAGAAAATAACTATAAAAGTCATCATATGTGATAGAGAATGCTGCGTGAACTTTCCTTATAGAACATCTAGGTTATGAGCGTGTTCTTTGGTAGACATAAGATAGAGGTTTGTATTTTTATATCAACAATCATGTATTTAAACAGAATAGACCTCCTCGATAATGACCTACATTGTATCCCTAAAATAAAGAACCTCATTTTTCGAACTTTTTTTTCATTTTAATATATCTTTATCTACTTCAATCATGTCAAGTTCACAGCTAAATGGGCTGCCTTATAACTTTAATCAAGCTAAAACAGAACTCATCTTGCACACCTGATGTAAAGTTTGCTGCTCTTCCATTTTTATCCATTTGTTTTTGTAGCTGGTTTCAACTATATTCCATAGTTTCAACTTTTTGGACAAATAACTAAACAATAATTTTCCAAAATATTTTTAAACTGCGCAAACCTTCATTTTTTATATGGTTTGAATAATTAAGTATACATCTGTTGAAATTAAATGGGTTTTTTTCAAAGCTTTCCTACTGCAACAACTTAATTAGAAAGTTAATACTAATCATATTCCATCCTCAACCAAACACATAATACTTTTCTCTTTTTTGAAGTCCTGAGGCTAACTTTTGCCAAAATACTCTAGAAAGAATGATAGAATCGTTCAACCTCTTTGAGGTATACTTATTAACTGCTTCTAGAATTTTTTTTAACTAGCTATTCACTAAGTTTTAGAGTAAAGCAGAAAATTTTAAAATTTGATCACCCAGTTTTTTTTTTTATAAAGCTTTTTAGGTAGCGGTGTTCCTTTAGCCTGTTTATCTTTATTATTGTTTAAACTTTAGAATTTAACTGAACTTCTACTGACTGGCATTTTAAAAGAAGATTTATTCTTAACTTCATTAAAGAAAAGTGAAAAAAAATGAAATCTTGAATAGCATTCTTGATAGCTTGAATAACGATTAAAAATAAATAAAAAAAAGGAAATTAAGATATTTTGAAGCAATCTGTCTTTTTGATTACTTAAAACGCTTTGTTTAGAAAGAGACTTCAGATAAAACTTTATTTTTGAAGCAATCTGTCATTTTACCTATTTAAAACGTTTTTTTAGAAAAAGACTTCAGATTAAACTTTTTTTTTCTAAAACGCAACGATTAAAAATCAAATTTATCCAATCAAAATTTGAATAGCATAAATTTGAAAGAAAAGTTGCCTAACTTTATACGCAAAGAAACTTTTGCAAAGACTTTTATTTTTTATATCTTTAAATTTTAAAAATAGAAATAGAAGGTCAACCATAAAAAATTAGCAAAAACTGAATTGTTTTTGAACTTTTCTCAAAAAATTAATTAAGAATAACTGGTTAAACAAGAAATATAGAATTTTGGACCCTCCCTATCATAAGGGAAACTGTTTTTTTTTAATAGCATACTTTAGAAAAGTATTAGTGAGTGGTTTTTCTATGAAAGTTTAAAAAGTAGTTATAATTAATAAGAACAGTCTTATTTTTTGAACAAAGTATTCAGATTTTTAAATAATAAATAAATTAAAAAAAAAAAAAAAAAAAATGATCTAAAGTATAATTTATAATAAATATCAATATATATTAGTATAATTTATAATAATATCAAACTTCATAAATAAAATATAATAAATAAAACATAACAAGTAAATATAAAATATATAAAATATACATCGCAGTTTAATAGCCAAACTTTTTTCTAAAACAAAATACATTATCAACAACAAATACTTACACCTTTCAATCACAACAAATACTTATTATATATTATACATTATATTTTATACTTATTATATATGAATATATTATAACTGTCAATAACAACAAATACTTATAACTGTCATTAAATTTTTGGTTGTGGTTTTTCAACTAAAAAATAATAAAATCGGGTACTAATACCCGATCCGCTGATAAACAGCAGTCTGCGCAACGGGTACTAATGCCCGACCCGCTCAAAAAGTGTTAATAATGTTAAATAAAATATTTTCATGATCTTTGATGTGGTAAATGATGTCAGATGTGTTTGACAGTCTCTTATTTTGAGTTTATGTGTAAACTTTTTTCTTTTCATAATTTCAGTATGTTGCCATGGTTTTTGACTTTCAATTAAAATCTATTTCTATTGCTTTAATAGACGACTCAGATAAAAGGTTTGTAACATGCATGCTCTATGCTATTTTATTTTTGTATATTTTAGATGTACATATATATATATATATATATATATATATATATATATATATATATATATATAGGCCTTGTTTTTAATAAAAAATGTTTAATGCATTAGCCTAATGTGATATTGATGTCATTAAATATTCTTTATTTTTTTGGTTTTTAAAGACATTAACTTTTTTAAACTACTGCAATACTACTTAGGTCGTTAGGAAAGTTTGTAGAACTCCTCTATAAAAAAAAATAATAAAAGAGTTTTTTTTAATTTAATTTTATTAAATGTTCAAATTAATGTCTATAATTATTTATACAAAGTTGCATCCTTTTAAGCCATTTTTGAAATGTTTTTTGATACTCTTCTTTGGGTATACTTTCAAGTAGCTTTGTTATGCGGATTTTTTGGCTCTCGACGTCAGTATCATCATCAAATTTTTTTTTTATGAAGTTGAATAGCAAATAATTGGATGGAGCTAAGTCTGATGAGTATGGTGGGTGCAAAATTATTGTAATTCAAGCTTAGTTTAGATGATTTCTGATGGTTTGAGTTACATGGGGTCGAGCGTTATCATGTAGAAATTGTGAGTGCTTGTTTTAGGTCTTTGCTTATTTATTTCACATATAAGTGGTTTCAAACAATTTTTTATATAATATTTGCTAGTAATGGTATCTCCCTTTTTAACATAACCCAAATGAACAACACCTGTTGTTTTGAAGAAGATGTAAAACATGCTTTTTGGCTGAAATCTATCGCATCTTACTATAGTTCTTGAACTTTCACCTTCACCGACCCAACTAGCGTTAGCTAACTTGTGTCCAACTTGTCTCAAATAAAACCATGACTCATCCCCTGTAACAATATCACATAGCCTCCTTGGGCCGTTTCTGAAAAAGGATAAATTTTCCTTACATGCCTCAACTCTATTCTTTCGATTTTGATTGGTTAATTTGTGGGGTATCCAACGTGATGTTAGTTTTCTTTTTTAAGTGCCTTGTGGATGATTATGTTGATTGTAAAACGATTAATCAATGTCAGGGCTTTAATTGTATCATGTGTTGAATGCAGATATTCTTCAATAATGCCTTGCTTACATTAAATATTCTCAGCTGTATACTTGGTTTGAGAGTGCCCTTAGTGAGGATCATCTTCAAGACTCTCTCTACCATCTTTAAATAAAGTAGCCCACTTGGCAACTGTACTATGTTTTCGAGCTTGGTCACCATGAACCAAAACCAATTCATTGGTTATGGCTTGTGCTGAAACTCCTAGTATATATATGTATATATATATATATATATATATATATATACATATATATATATACGTATACATATATATACGTATACCTTTGTATATATGTATGTATGTATATATATACATATATATATATATATATATATATATATATATATATATATATATATATATATATATATATATATATATATATATATATATATATATATATATAAACAATTTTAAAATGTATTCTACAAAATAGAGTGCTCAATGTCCTTAAAAAAACATAGTAATAGTAAATTAGAAGAAAATCACTTGACAAAAATTTTTAATTTAACACTGAGTTTTATCAATAAAGACTCATCAGAAATGCATATATATTATATAAAATTATATAAAAATTTCAAAAATAATATTCATTTTGAAAAAAATTGTTATTTTGGTTTCATTACTTACAAATTACGTTTTTTAACAAAAAATGAAAAAAATTCATATTTTATGTTTTTTTATAATAATTTTAATAAATTTAAATTTTTTAAAAAGGAATATATTTTTTGAAATTTTTATATAATTTTGCTTAATATGTGTACCAGGTTGACATATTTTTAAAAAACTTTTTTTTTTTAAATATTAAGGACCCATTTTTTATTTGAGGGTCTTGAGGGACCCCTTAAAATATTTTTTATTCAAAAAAATTTTAAACCTAGTCTTTTTGTATTAGATAGAAGTTTAAGGGGTGGGAGCAGGTTTTTCTCAAAAAAGTTGTTTTAAGAGCCACCCTAATATTTATTATTAAGGATCATTTTTACTTTAAGTAAGGGAATTTTCATTATGCAATGTTAAACATTTAAAAAAATAGAAGTTTAAATAATAGTAAAAATGTATGGTTGTGTAGCAAATTAACATTGAACATAAAGGGCTGATTTTCTTTTTGGTTTGATTATTGGCTCTGTGAGAAAATATTTTTTTTGCTTTTTTTGTTTTGTTTAATTACATACCTTATGGGGAATCCATTAGGTAATGTACTTGGAGTTAATCATTTTATGGTTGTTTATCTACAAGGTTAATTATCTTTTCAAAATTATAGAAAAGATAATTTATAGAAAAGAAAGTCTTTTTCTGAACACATTTTTTTTTATTTCTTTGGCAATGTTTTTATTGATATCATATGTCAGACAATACGGTTTTCGATCCTTCTGCTCTATGGCCGACTTGCTAACTGCTGTAACTGAAAGATTTTATTGTGCATTAGATGGAAGCGGTGAGGCTAGGGCTATTGCTCTTGACATATCTAAAGCTTTCGACAAAGTTTGGCATGCTGGTCTTCTCCATAAGCTTGCTTCATATAGTGTTTCTGGGAAAGTTTTTGAGATTATCAAATCATTTCTTTCTAACCGGTTTATTAAAGTCATCCTTGAAGGCCAACACTCTTCTTTATTTCCAGTAACTTCTGGGGTTCCCCAAGGTTACATCCTGGGCCCTGTTTTGTTTCTTATCTACATAAACGATCTTCCTGACAACCTTTCATCTAAAGTAGCTCTTTTTGCTGATGACTCTACTTTATACTCCTGTCTTGACAAAAAGTCTTCTCTTTTCGATCGCCTAGAACAAGCAGTTGATCTTGAATCCAATCTCACTTCAGTAATAGATTGGGGTTCACAGTGGCTTGTGAATTTCAACTCAAAACAAAACCCAGTTGTTTACTGCAAACAACTACCGTAATATGGTCAACATTCCTATATTAATGAATGGCAATCCTCTTACTGACCTTTCATGGAAACCATATATACAATCAATTGCTAAATTAGCTTCTGCTAAGGTTGCTTCTCTTTATCATGCTCGCCATTTCCTTACTTCTGATTCCATTCTCTACTTCTACAAATCTCTTATTTGTCCCTGTATGGAATACTGCTGTCATATTTGGGCTGGTTCTTCTGACCATTCACTTTCTCTTCTTGACAAGGTCCAAAAATGCATTGTAAATGTTGTTGGACCTGGACTATCTGCTAAGCTTGAGCCTCTTTCCCATCGTCGTAAAGTTGCACCTCTTTCTCTTTTCTACAAATACTATCATGGTCACTGCTCAAAGGAGTTATCATCTCTAGTTCCATCAACTAAAATTCATTCTCGTTTTACTCGTCATTCAGCTAAGTCTCATTCGTTTACTGTATCTGTCCCTGCATGTTCTAAAAACTTTTATTCGTCTAGTTTTTTTCCCTGCACTTCAAGCCTTTGGAACTCTCTTCCATCATCATGTTTTCCTGACTCATACAACCTTCAACCTTTCAAGTCTTCTGTTAACCGTTTCCTTGCTCTATAACTCTGTTCTTTTTTTTGCTAGTGACTCCCAACTTAATAGTGGTTGTTTGCAGCCTTGTTGAATGCAAATAAAAAAAAAATATATATATATATATATATACCAATTGTTGATCTTGTATTATGCACTTGATAATTTTTTCTAAGTTCTTATTACCTATTTATTTGGCTGTAGTTGCTGTTTCAAGTGTATACATTGTCATATTCAGCTTTTTCAGACAGATTTGCTATTTTTTTAGCTTGTTTTTCTTTGACTTTAAAAAGTTATGTATGCTGCCCTCTCCTTAAATCTAGCATTTCTGATACATTTGAGAGTTTCCATGTTCTAAAAATTCAAAAATAGATTCATTTTCTAACAAGGAAATTGACTTTCTATGAAGTTTACTCTTGGAGTATTGAACATCCTTCATTTTTTGTTTGTAGGTAGATTGTAATGATAATAATTTTTTTTTAATTCTTTTTCTTAGGCACCTTTAATTTTTGTAAGATTCTTCTTCTCTAAAATCTTCATTCCGACATTTTAATAACATCACCAGTCGCTAAAGAAATCTTTATTCTATGATTTCATTCAAGACAGTTTGTATTTTATTATTTATTTACACAATTTTAAATCAACAAAAGATTTTTTGTAAGTTCTTTTAACTTGCAGAAGATTTGAGGTTATTAATTTAAAGGAATTTGATTTAAAATGACTGTCATGTTTTTTGTAAAAAAAAAATAAAAAACAGTTTAAGTAGAAACATTTTTAAATTAAAAATAGTTGTTCTTGGGTGGGTCCAGGCTGCATCAAATCCTATATTGGATTAAAAAGAGAAGGGTCAAAGTTTATCCATACGTATTCAGTTTCTTACAGTAACATACAGAATTTAATAAAAGTCACATTCAAGTATGCTATTATTTCCTAGTTTAAAAAGTTATCTTTCTCTGCATTATGATGGCATAAAATGTAATTTTATAAAATATTTTACATTAAACTCTGAAAGCCTGTTTAATATTCTTCCGATTGATGTACAATATATGTTCACATGCGTGGTTTAAAAAATAAAATAAAGTTTTAAATTATTGCTTTTTCACTAAAAAATTGTTCTTTAAAAAATGACAACTTTGAGCATCTGCGGGGAAGCGCCTTGTGTTCTAAAAATCCGTTCAGAATATAAAAATATGATCAATTTATATCAGTATTGCATATTTAGAACTTTTGGATTTTCACAAGTCTGGAATTAATGTCACTTTTTGTTTATTTTAAACCACTGAGCAATGCAGCATTGAGTATATTGGCAGGCACAATCAACATTTTTAATAAAAAGGTTACAGTTTTTTATTGGCTCATTACTTCGCAATAAAGTATGATTGTATTATAAATTTTTTTTTTAAACATCTTTAATTCCAACAAGGCTGCAAGCAACCACTATTAGATATGGA